TGTGATCATTTTCTATATGAAAGGCTATTGTCCTGTTGCTTATGTAGGCTTTTCCAGATGTGCAGACATTTCAACATTAAGTATAGGTAGGTTTATCAAACTAATCAAATCTGTGTACCTATTCAACCTTTTCATTCTTTCCTATAGATGAGAGAAATTTAATAATCAACGAGAGCTTTGATTGTGATTCTGGCCAGCAGAAGATTCTGGAAGCATTAACAATTGGTAAAGAAAGGAGAGATACCAATGAATTGAATTCCGAAAAAGAAAAATTCAAACTGGAGCTCATTAAACTCGTTGATAGTATAGAGTCACATTTATAGCCATGAGGAGGAAGAAAACCATGACATTTTCCGACAAGTTACCATCTAAAACGCATCAAAATATAGTTATTTATTATACAATGGAAAAAAGTAGTAGATTTTAGCTCCAGGTTGTGTTGTCTCCCGACGCGTAGCGGAGGGAGACAAAAAACCGTGAGCTAAAATCTAATATTTTTCCCGTGTATAATACACTATTTTTTTCTGTGACAGAAGGAAGGACGAATCAATATTGAGAAGATATTACATTATTTCGAAATCTGAAAATTATCGACGTGAAATTTCAAGTTTTTAACAGTAGGGACACCTGCGTTTTAAAGGCATCTTTATCATTCTTTTGAAGTAATCAAATATCTGATGTCACTTCTGTCAGTTCAATTCTGTGATTCGATTTTAAAAAATTGCGAATTCAGTAGTTGTTTAGTAATATACGAAACCGCGAAGTCGAATGGAAGATAAAAGGACTTGCAGTTCTTTCTCGGAGACGGTATTATTGACTCATTTTTCGGAACTATAGCAGAACAAAAGCCATTAACAGAGTATATATATGTGATATATATCCGGGAAAAAAGTACTCACTTTTTTCCCACGGGAAAAAAGTAATTTATGAAAAGTGACATTTTATAACCTGCCAACAGTGATGAAATGCCAAATTTTTTCCCGTCACAGAAAAAAAAAAATTACTCAACAGAGACGTTTATACCGAACAACCAAAAAAGCTGTTCCTAATAAACGACTTAGTAATAAATCAATCCATCCAGATGATATGGACGCCGATAATATCGCAATAAATCTAATGTTTCCACCAAAAACAATGATTCAATAAGTAAATAAGTTGTTTTTATTATGTCAATTTTGTCCTGATATGAAAAAAAAACATGTGAGGTCTTTGCAATGTTTAGCTCTCGCAATAAATTGTTTCTCAAGGTGAATTCGGAAAGAAAAAAATACTTTGCATCATTTTTCCAAAACATTACACCCGATCACTTGATACTCATGGATTATTATTATGTTTTAAAATTTGGCGCGTGCTCTGCATCAGCGGCGACGTCCGACCATGATCGGACATCATCGGATTCAGAGAGCCTTCGGTGTTTGTAGACGCTTGTCACCTTAACGCTTGCGATGCACAGTGCAGTGAGCAGTGCGCAGTAACATTTTAGCAGTGATAGTGGGAACGGCTAGGGCGACAGCCTCTTGAATCTTTAATTCATAATCCTAAGTTCTTTTGTGCGAAGTATTGAGTCTAACAGTGTGTTGGTAAAATTTACGATTCCGGTAAAATTGGAAGCTCTTTTGAATAAGTTAGCGATGACTGAAAACAATGTTGAAGCATCATAAAATCTACTATAGAAGACCATGTTATCTCAAAGTGGAGTGAAGTTGTCAAAATATAATGAAAACTCTCCAAGTCGTCTTCACAACGTTCAATTCTAAATTCAAGAGAACGTTGTGGAGACGACTTGAGGAGTTTTTATTATATTTTATAATATAATGTTATTATCACACATTTATTTGTGGAAATAAATTATTATTATCATTATTTTTATTATTATTATACCATGTCTTCAAACTAAGGATACAAATATTTTCATTGATTGAATATCCATCTCCTAATCATAAATATAACATTATACCAATTTTTAACAGAATGTGTCAATCTATAAACATATAGAGTCATTAGAAATAAATATACAGTATTTCATAAGAAAGTATAAGGTATAGTATTTTTTCAAAGAAGTATGTTTGTTATGGACAATGAACGTGTGCTTTGAATTACTAAAAAATATTCTCAGATGTATTACAATAATTTATGTTGGTGCCTACAATATTTCTCCCATATAATTGTATCATAATACTTACTATTTTTTATTGCTGTCACATATGGTACCAGAAATTTTGGTAAACTGTACAATAATTCTGGTAATACCTGCTTTCTATTTTTCTCCGTGTATGAGTGTATCATTAGCATTTCTCAATGTAGCCGTTCATATTCGATATACAGGGTGTCAGAGTTGGAAATTAAAACCTCACTCGTATTCATTAAGATATCGATCTCAAAATTGTTACTTCAGCACAAAGAATTACATCGTGTGAGGAAAACAAAACTGAGAATAACTGTCAAGTATTCAAAATACTGGGGGTCAAGTACACACTCACCCCCATATTTTCTTTGTACGTGCGCTCATGACTCCCTTTCTATATTTCTCCAAGGAATGAATCATATTAATTCTAAGTATTCATTGTCCTATGTGGAATTTTTATGAGATTTTCTGTTTTTAAGATAATTTGGAAAGTACTGGTTATTGTTTGATGCCTATGCGGCTTACGCTGATCTCATATAATGTTCACATACTCCTATTTATTTCGTGAAAATTGGAAGAGAGCGAAACTTTTTACGTACGAAGAGGTGAATATGGAAATACCAGGTGCTCAAGGCGAATGTATCAAAATAATTTTCACAAAAAAAGAAATTGATAGAAATTCAACAAGTCTAAATGAATTGCTCGATATGAGCTTCAATTGTTAGAATACACATGCGAGTCCTTTCGATCAAAGGAAATCTCAGCCTATGAAAAATATGTGGCTCATACACAAAATCTCTCATACATCCCCAGACAATCCTGATCTGCTATTTCTTTCATCAAGTAGCTATTTGAATCATGGATATCATAATTTCACCTGAAGTTTCGGAAAATATTTCTTGAAATCCTCTCCGATTCCACGATTTTATTTCCCGTTTGTTCGCACACGACGTACTATACGGGGGAGGGCAATTCCGCAACTCTCAAAACCTCTCAAACCGATTCAAATTTTATTTCAAAGCATTTGCTGTTCTCGAAAAATATTAATTCAATAATTCTTCAAAAGGGTGAGCTCGTCAATCGACCCCCCCCCCATCTTCCTAACATCATTATTTTCTCGGAATTCTTCAATTGGATTAATTGAAACGGCTCGCATGTGTATTCAAAAAATTTGAATTCATATAGAGCAACCGTTTTTTTAGACGCGTTGATATTTCATCAATTGTTTTTTGTAAAATTCATTTTAGTTCATCCGCTCTGAGCACCCGGTATTTCCATATTCACCTTCTCGTGAAAAGTTACACCCTCTTTCAATTTCGACTATGAAATTTTTGTTCAAGAAATATATGGTTGATGAATTGACCTCCCTTCAGCGGACACCCTGTATGGTTTTCCATACATGCAAACAATGTTTCATAATAAAAGATATTTTTTCCATTCATATTATACTTTGGAGATGGTTTAGCATGCCTGATATTTCCATCTTCGATAATTCATCATTCGATATTTTTTTATCGATAATTCGAAATTCGATGTATTCTTACTGACCTTTCGGATATAATAGGATATAGTGATGAAATTGCATATTGAGACTGCACTTACCATGCATGATTCACTGAATGAGTTATATAAACTGCGAAACTCATGAATCAATAGACAATATCTATTTCGATAAAGACATTTATGAATGATACATCTCATATTTCTACTTTTAATAATATCACCCAGGATATTGATATCGATATTATATCGATAAACGAACTTTTTGTTCCACTCATTATATGAACCAGTAGTTCTAGAGGTTTCGTTTCGATGTCGACATAACTACCGCTACCCTCAACATCAATTCTGTACGAGAGCCTCTTGTCAGATAAGAGATATGTCTGCCTGAAAATGTATGTCTTCCCTTCTCCGTGTAACAAGTTTCAGAACTTCCGCACACAAATGACAATGTATTTCAGACTAGTGCTGCAGAGGTATAATTATCATAATTGCTAAACTCGCTCTGCTACAGGCCAAGATACCATCATATGAAATTATGCATGGAATTTACTTGATTATGCTCGTGGAAATTAGATTCTCAACTGAAGTTGAATGTTGACGTCTGCTAGCTGCTATCTTCATAAAGATTTTTTATTTCAGAAGATCCACATAAAATATATTGGATGCCATCAAATCCATATTATTCGAGTATTCATATATTACTCTCAAAATTTCTATAAAAGCAGATCAAGAATAAAGATCCTGGGTGACAAAAAAAATCATCAGTTGGATCTGTTGTTGGAGACTCTATCATCAGGAATGTATTATCGATTCGAATCGTTGGTCACTGAACTGATGTTAGTTGTTTGCATCAGTATAATAATATTTGAAGATTATCCAGAAAACATATTCGGAATTCGAAGTGTTCATAATCCTCACGAGTAAATGCAATTCTGATAAAATATCATATCAGGAAGATGAATATTCACGTGAAAATAACGAATCATCATGAGTGGAACAGATGTTGAAGTTTGGAGCATCGATGAATAAACAGGTTATCATTGGGGGTGCATAGCACTCATGAGAGCGTCCTCGAATCATGTAAAAATATCTTGAATATTGAGAAATACCAAGAATTCATCAGTACTGAAAGAAGGCCCGATAAACTATCTCATCACCGTTCTCTGTTGATACGAGGCGAGTTGGGCTTATGTTGCTTTCATAGAACACAAGTCTAATAATGACATTAATGACATCAGAAATGCAATCTTTCCCCAATTTATCAATAGCTAGAGTAACTTATTTTTGACTATGTCAACACTAGCTTTTCCTAATATGATATGGAGAATGTGAATTTGAAAAATAAAAAAATACTCCACAATAGGAAACATACTGATCAAATTCTCAATTTCCTCGAAATTGTCAGAATCCGTAGCCTCTTCGCAGGTCAAGAAATTTCTGGGCCATTCTACATCACGCTGAAACATTCTAGAAATCTCATGAAAATTTCCTAGAATTTTGAAAATTCTGAAGAATTCTCAATGAATCCAGAGCATCCTTAGACATTCCAGAGTATTCTACAATAATCTCCAATGATCTGAAAGATTCCATAATATCATGAAACATTCTTGAACATCTTGAAATATTTTTCAACTCCATCCATGAAACATTATGAAAAACAGTACAAAATATTCTCGAACATCGTGAAAGCTGAACAATCTACAACGTCATGACACATTCGTAGATATTCATTCTGACCAGTTTCGGCAACATCAATACTCGATTTACAGCTGCCTAACCGACTTTCTATTGAAAGTCGAATCAGGGGGTCTGCCTATCTATCAAATATAGTATTTGATGAAATTTAATGTACAAAAGTGAGGAATACACCAAGTATATATATATATAGGTTTCATAAGAAGTCCTAGACGGATAAACATCATTTGGTGAGATGGACGCCATATCAACAAGAGATAAATGATTATGAATGAAAAGTAACACAATGCATTGATTCGCATGTTACTTCAGGAAGTATTTGAAGCATTGATTACCCATACTTCATTCAATAAAGGACTTTTAGAGGACTGATAATTCATACATGAGGTGATCTCGATTAGAGTAGGCAGTTATAACGTTCCGCTTCTGGGTTTGTCGCTAGTAGGTGAAAAACGGTTCGCCGTACAAGAAAACTTTCTCGTGAGAGCAGATAGAAATCGATAGAACTTTCATCTTTTTTTTTTCCGAATCTCCAACCGTTTTCCAGCTGCATGCTCCAGATATTCTCGAATTGAAGACTTTCAGCTCACATTGCCCATATGAGGGTGATATTGCATGAGAGGAGAAGAATCCAAAGATGAAGTGAACGAGCAATTCACATCATCATCAGAGATGTACTGATGTAGGTAGTTTCATGGCTGCTGGCGAGCAGAATATATCACTGGTGATAATTTTGGTTGGTCATTGAATGTTTATCAATAATTACTTCAGATATAGGGAAATCTCCGGGAGAAGTGAGATGAAATCCAATTTTCCAGAATTGAAAATTTCCTAAGGAAACTATGAATTACCAGTGAATCAAACGTGCTGCTCTCAAATCTGCAGTGATTTTCAATCTACACCTTGCCCCCCTATATCATTTTTCGGAAATGTGAATGGTTCCATATGGCTGTTGGCGAGCAGTATATATACTAATGAAAAACTCACTTGATTATAGTATGCATTCTTGATATATGTCTTGCTCTTGGAAATTTCAAAATCCTGACTAAACAATTATGCAAGCTACAGGGGCGCTTCCATTAGAAGTGAGACACACTGTATACCGGGTGTCAACGAGATCATTGGAAAAAGCGTCAATCAGTTGTTTCACAAGTTTCAATTCCGGAAATTGGATCGTCAATATTGGGTTAAATAATTACCGATGGTGGCGCTGCAATCGTGTTCTCGAAACGCGTAATATTTTCATGAGCTGTGTTTGTTTATCAATGTTTGTCATTGAGAACATAGTTTGAAAAGATAGTGTTTGGAGCAATTTCTTTTATATTTCGTTAGTTTTGAATTCAAAATATCTCTTATCACTTTCTCAGTCGACATATTGTGAGTATAAAATAATAGCTGAATAATTTTTAAATGTTATTTCCAGGAATTGAGGTCAGGTCACTTTATTCTAATTTCTTTATTTATTTTCAGAATTTCTTCAGTATGTTCTTGAAGTTATCAGAAATCTTCAAGTATTTGGATGCAAAGCCAGATAGTCGTTGTATCGTAGAGGGCGAGGAGGTACTACATGCAAATCATCTAATTTTATGTGGAGAGAAGTCCAGTACAGCACAGAGCATAAAAATCGCAGGTCTTTGCCTTCAGACATCAGCACTACAAGGACAACCTCATCAAATTGAAGGAACATTTTCGATTGACAATGATGTGAAGAATATGGAGATAAAATACTCATGTAAAGCAGGGTTGTTAGGAACATGCAAAAGCATTTCTGCATTATTACTCAACTGTTCTAGGTTGTATCTACTACAAAACTCAAGAGGCCTTATCATGCCCTAGTAATTTAACTGACACTGAAGTCATAATTTATTGTATAGTTGTGTTTCTGGCAATTTCTTTCTTGTTCCAGGATGGATATCAGCAATCTAGAAATGTTATCCTCTACTGATGTTGAGTGTTATTGGGAAAGAGCCAAAACTGAAGCAAAAGAAATGTACAGACCTGTTCCAATAAGTGATTACCCATGTTTGGTTAAAACTAGAAGTATAATAAAATATGTTCATGATTTGTCACAAGTTGAGATGGAAAATTGCTTGAAAACTCTAATGAAAGCTGTACCTGACAGCAATATAAGTAAACAACGGTAGGTCATATTTGATTAATAATCTAACCAAATAACTCAAAGCGTATCGATGTGTGTGACCATGACACCATTTTTTTCAGTTCTCGAAAGAGAAAACACTTGGATGGAGTTCTTCCAATCACACCAGATGAAAATAGTTTACCTACATATATCAACAATATATATGTCCATTGTGGTTCCTCTGATTTTTTGAATAATCTTTCAAAGAATGAATATTTGGAAAACTCCAATCTAAAATAGTGTTGCACAAATGAGTGAAAATGTTTTGAAAATTGCAACACTTTGCAAGCTTTGTCATTATCCCAAAATTCAGAGGAATGGCATAAAAATCGAAAATTCAGAATTACAGGTAACAACTCCTTTGTTTCTCACCTCCTGTAAGGATTTTGTAATTTTTGCATTTATTGAAATATATTTTTACATAAACGAATCAACAAACTCATAAACTTGTAAGTTAGTAGTGTTGAAATGATATTTCTGTAACTTGTGAAATTTTCAAACTTATATGCACAACATGAGCATATATGATTTTCAATTCTATTTATTTTTTAGGAAGCAAATGCTACTCAATTTTCACATATTATATAAATAATAGTGATGAGTGCTGGCAAAGAAAAGCCATACAATGTTTTTTTCTGAAAAAATTCACTAATGAATATGTAGAGCATGGAAAGAATGAAGAAAAAAATGCACTCCTATTATATGAACATTGTACTGAGCTGGAAGTGATTGGAGATTTGGGTATCCTCATTCCAAATAATTTTTCTTGGCTTGGATTTTCACCAGAAGCTCTAGTCACAGATGGTGAAACTCCAATCAAGCTTGTAGAAATAAAATGCCCTTTCATTGGTAATAGTAGATACTCATGGTTCAGTTATTTTCATAAGTAATAATATTACAGGAAGAACAAAAGATAGCATGCCCTTATTTGAACATCACTTCCACTGGATTAGAACTCAAGAAAAAACACTCCTGCTATGGACAGATACAGCTAGGTTTGTCACTGATGAATTTGAAGATCTGTGATCTCAATATTTATTCCAGTTTTACAAGGAGCTATCTCAAACTTGAAATTCCATTTGATGAGCAGTTTTCTAAGAAATTGATATCATCTATTTCTGAGAAATATTTCACCAAAATGTTACATTTTCTTTGTGACACATGGTATTAAAGTTGGGGGTATGTGTATATATGTAGTAGCAATAATTAATTTGACTTCAACATCGAAGGTTGATTTGTGTGGACCTATTTATCTTTCATGTTTGTAAATATCTCATGTTTTTCCAATATATCCATTGAAAATCTGAAAAAAAATGTATTTTATACAATACCAACAAGCTTCTACACATTTTGAACAATAAAAATCAAATACTTGGTTAATAGGACAGATACACGAAAGAAAAACATTGCTTTGTATAAAGAACAGTTGATATAAATTAAAAGCAAAAAATCACCAACATACATACTGACTAACATACACTGAGAAAGTTTTTATATGAATTTGTCTTCAGAGAATAGAGGGCTCTGTGAATTCACTATTTTACTGCAAACAGTAATTATGTCATCAATATGTCTCACAAGAGACCATGACATCTGTATATTCAGAATATTTAAAAGGCTCAATCTCTGATTAACCGTCTCAACATGAACTCTAGCTCTAGCAATTTCTCTATTGTGAATAGATTCATGCTCAGAAAATTGTTTTTTCTTCCTCAAAAATGAGGGTCTTATCATTCTGATGAAGTGTTCATTACATTTTTCCTCCACAAGAAACTCTTTATCAACCATGATGGCATCAATATGTGGTTCTAACATATCCAAAATTCCACTATCTTCAAAAATTGTTTTATCAGATGTGCGACCTCCATAAGCTTTGCTGACGAAAGTTAATAGTCTACCAGGACTTACACCTGTCATTACTTTGATAGTATTCCGCTTTTCATAATTATGAATATGTCTTTACTCTACAACATAGGCATTTTGGTTGATCAATGGGAATTTCAGTAAAATCAAGAATCACTCTCACGTCTTGAAAATTTATGAAAGAAGTTGGTATGTTATGTCTGCATTCCTCTACAGATGGCCATATAATGAATGATTTACAAAACTTTGACAGAATTTGAATAAATTCTCCAAATATCTTGGAACGTAGGGAAGCTGATATATGAAAAAAAAAAAAGAAATATGAATTTAATGTCCAGTTTCAATTTCATGAAGACTAACAACACATTGTCTAAAGTAGATAGGATGGCATGTCTTTTTCTTGGAAAATACTGATCAATTAACCTACAAATCACTTTCAGCAGTTCAAAATTTGGTACACCACTGATGGAATTTAACATTGAATCAGACTTGATAGTCTGCCAAAACTCAGTCATGAAATCACCACTTGAAACTCGAAAACTCTTGTCACATTTCGTAGGTGCCTCTTCCCTGCTTGCTTCATAGAATTGCAATGATCCATTAACAGCATCTTGTTCCAGTCCAGTGAGTTGAAATCCTTGAACCATTGTTATTTCAGGCATGTCAATACATTCAGATGTTGAAGCTGTTTGGTCCCGAGTTTGGTATTCTCTCAACTGCTGCCTTCTGATCAACCTATCATTTCTTGGACACTTGATTGCTTTAATA